GCTCCGCCGGGCCCTGCCCGCCCTGAGCGGGCTCCCCGCGGCGGGAGAGCGCGTAGGGTGTTGGCGCCGCTTGTGCCGGGCGGGGTCTTGGTCGGCGCGGGGTGTTACCGCTCGGGGTCCCCCCGCTGTGGGTGAAGCTGCTGAGGGCTCTGGGCAGAGAGAGGGAGGACAGGGAGGCGTTGCTTGTGCAGAGAAGGCCCGGGTCGGTCGATTGCCGCTCTGGAAAGCTTCCCTGGGGATGCTTGCGGCTGCTCTTGAGCGTAAGTGTCACCAGAAGCCTCGCAGTCTCTCGGAAGCCTGCTCTTGCTGTTAGTCACGTCCGGTCGTCGGACGAAGCGGTGGGGCAGGGCCTGGGGTGCCAATAGGAGGTACGTTCTCCGGTGTCTTTTGCCAGGCAGACTTGCGAAACGAGGTGCCAGATAGGTCCTGGCAGGGCTTGCTGTCTGCGTCAGGTGTTGGATCCACTAGCGTTCTGACAGTGGCGAAACCCCGCGCTCGCTTGTCTCCGTGTACTTGTGACTGGTTTTATCAAACGAAGGGGACTGCTTTCATTGGGTGTAGCAGATGATAGGTAAAATGCGCTTCACGCGCTTAGTGAGATGCCTACTTGTCCCTTCGTGCAGAGTCACCGGAGTTTCAGTGGACTTGTTAACTTTACCTTCACCTCAGGTGGTTGAAAAAGATAGGGCTGTAAAAATCCCGAAGAGTTGTTTAAAACATTTGATATTTGCTATCAACAAAAAGATGAGAATTGCTGGAAAACTGTCTTGTCAAAATATTTTGCAGTGCAGAATGGAGATACTTCTTTTACCCGCCTCGTCTGCGGATAAACTGTAAGGAATGCAGTTGACAGCTAACGACAATTTCTGTTGAGAGTGTGTGAGCTGGGAAAAAGGTCAAGCTGGGTCCAGCTTAAGGTAAAAAGTGTAACTTACAGTATGGTACCAGTAGTATTCTGCAACAGGCTAATATTTTTGTGATGGTTTAGGGCCTCATTATGATTTAGCTGTTAGAGCCGTTGGATTTCAGTTTTGTCTGTGGCGTGGACAAGCCATTTTATTTATTGTTCTGTGGCACTGGTTTCAACATAACAAGTTACTGCAGTAGTTTTAGAATATAAACTTTACAAAGCGTTTAGGACTTCAGGATCGGGGTGAATGTTATTTTAGCTCTTTTTTAAATTCTCCTTTACAGGTGTGAACAAAGGTGGCCCCAGGGCTGAGGCTTCACAGAGGAAGGTTTGGTCTGGAATCTGTTTTCATGGCACAGGTGAAGACCTTTGGAAAAGAACTTTTATCATGGAAACAAAGTGACTATAAGTATTAACTAAACCAACATAATATTTTAAAAAAAAAGTTTCTGAGAGTACAGAGATACTTTTTCCTTTGTTTTCTCAGAAGAAAGAACATGTTGTGTGTTCTAATTATATAAAGTTGTATAAAGTGTCCCCCTCCAACCTACTGGGGGAAACTTACTCAAAGTTCAAAACCAAAATTAAATGTTTAAACCTGTTGGTTTCCCCTCTGACCCATTTGTGTGCATGGTGCTTGTATTGCAAGGGTTTGAGAAGTCTTGAAAACTGTTTGGAGAACTGAAAATGAATGGAAATGTTCCACAGGTCAAATACCTAAGCATCCTATCGGAATGGTAAATAAATTCTAAATAACATCTTTGCAGAGCACAGCTTTTCTTAAACAAACGGCAGCAAGAAAAATCTGGTCACTGGACTGATTAATACTTTTAGGATATGAAAAAATGTAAAACAGTTTTAAAAATGGGTATGATTATGCCATTTCAACTAAGGACCCGGTTTTGTTCTCTTTGTAATAGAGGAAGAAACTGTTACATTTCGATGAAGCAATACTAAGTCTTAGTTGAGGAATTTTTATGATGCGTTTGTATGAATAAAGCTGTCAACTAATCTGTTATAGATGTCATTGATTAGAAATACTGTGTACTGACACAGTGTATGGAATCCTGTCTTGTCGGAAGATGGTGGGAGACTCTTCTGTAGGATCCCTGGTCAGTCTCCTGTTGGAAGATCAAAATATTTTCTGTTCTTATCTGTATGTTCTGGTTTTTAAAGCTCAAGCACAAAGGAGTTAATATTGTGAGTAATCACTACAGTTAATGTTTGATTTTTGCACATAGTTCACATATTTGTCCAATTTCTTCATTGCTCAAAGTAGTCTGTTGTTAACTATATGAAAAGGAAATTCTAAATACCAGGTTTGCATGTTGAAGCTGATCATGTGTCAGAATCCTAGGCCGAAATCTAAAATCCTAAAAACACTAGCTGTAGAAACTCTTATGGCTGAGCCTGAGTTAGGTTTTCATGCATTTCTATGTGATTATCTTCCAGCTATTTTCTGATCTAGCTTTAAAAACTATTTCATGTAACCGCAACTTGGCAAATTAGGTGATTTCATCCACAGTTTATGTTTTGTTATGGATGGTTTCTTTTTCATTTCTTTTTTTTTTTTAACATGAATACTGCAGCCTTATATTAACACAAGTTTCATATAAAGGGCACCTATACCTTAAGCATATGCATCATGTGTGAAATCCTACTGTGTTGTATGTCTGTAAAATTGCTGGGTAGCTGAACATTTGCTGAATGAACTGCTGTTTGTTTTTTGTGGCTTATAATACTCCTTTGTAGATGTGCTGGTATCTTGTTTGTCCCTGCTGCATCTAGACAATGCATTCCTTCATGTTTTGTGTAACATCTTCAGTCATTTCTGTCTACATAGAGATGGTAACTGGAAAGAGAAAATTCTGTTTTTAAATTCTCCCTCTTCCCACCCTTAACTTCCCCACTGCCCAGCATAGCTGGACTATTGGTCATTAAGGGGAATTTAGAACAGTATTGATTGCTGGTATCCAGGAATTCCAGGGAAAAGGTACAAAAATGAGTATGGGGAAACTATGTGAATTTTCTGACAACACAAATTTATGCTTTGAGACCCTTAAAATCAGTAGGGGAGTTCTACAGTCAGAATAAAAAAAGAAAGAAAAGGAGCTCAAGATGTTGGATGAATAAGCTCTGGAGTTTACTACTGTTTTAAGAGGCTTGTCTGTTGTTCAGTTGTTTTAAATTTCTCCTGGTAGTGGTTAGCAAGGAGTAAACTGAATGGTCAAGTCTAAACCCAGAACGGTTCTTCTCTGCTGTTATTTGCTGTTTTTTTTTTTTAATGTAATCAGTCCTTTGAGGGAGTTGGGCAAGTTCAAAACAGTATGTTTTTCAGTGCTTGCTTCTGGGACCGGTGTATAATTGCTCTGGCTTATGAGGGATTCCCATTGGTTTCTCCATTAATTGCTTACAAATACTCCACATTGTGTCACAATATTCTGTTTTCTAGCAGTGTTTCAAGTAAGAGATTGATGCTCAACTGGGAAGCTCTGACAAGAAATGAAGAAAGGTTATTTACAGCTATGTATAGAATGGGAAGCAGCTGTTTTAAGTTAGCAAATTAGAAGAAGTGGTGAATACTTCTGGTATGCCTTAAAACTGGCTTTTTTTCCCCCCGAGTTGAGTGTTAGATGTTATTTCCCTTTTTATTTGCACGATATCAGGCATACCAGTAGAGCCTGGAAACTTTAATTAACAAAATGAATAAATTGTTTCACACGTGTTTGCTGGTCTACAGGCATAGACTGATCAATATATATACCCATAAACCTTCCATAACTTGTACCCCAGCTTTTAAAATAGTTTAAATAGTTTTCTGCAGGTCTTTTGCAGTATGCCACTTCTTCCCACTGCTGTCCCAAGTTTCTGTTTGTCAAATATGTTTTATTTCCTACCAAAACTGGTTGTCAGAGTTAGTGCGCTTTTAGGACAGGGTTTAGATTAGTTTTGGATGTTTTGTTTTGCTTTTTAACCAGGAGATGCTCTGTATATCGTCTCTTTTTATGAAAAGAATGCTTGAGAGTATTCATTAAGCTTATTCTTCAGTATTCTTTAGATTATCAGGCAATTCATTACATAAACAGGCAAATTTCTTTGTATTTCTTTTCTGAAGCATTAATCATTTTATTATGAAGGTAGGATGACATCGTTACAAATAAATGCTTTTTTTATGGCTTTGATAGTTCATTTTACTGTACAGGATTTAACAAACGAAAAATGTGTTGAGTTAGTTCCAGTGGCTTATAATACATATTCCTTGCTTTGTAGCTGAATATTCAGCCATTCTTACTCCCATTGGTCATCCTTTTACAGGCTGTCCTGTCCATGATCAACTTCAGAACTTTTGTAAAATCTCATGAACTCGACATTGTAAGCCAAAAATATTACAGATTCATTTAAGTGCTAGATAAACCTTCAGGATAATTTGGGGGCAAGGTGTGTGTATAACATGAAAGTGAAAAAATCCTAAATTGAAGAAATAGCATAACTTTGAAGTCAAATGAGCAGGCCATGCAGCTTTCCTAAGTAGTTTGTAGAGAATC